ATCCCCCAGCACCACATGCCAGCCAGCCCGCCCCCTGGTGGGCTGAGCTGGCCACACACACACACACACACACAAATAAATAAATAAAATTAAAAAAATAAAAAAATAAAAATAAATAAATAAATAAATTTAAATGGCTTCATAGGCTAGTGCCTGACTAGACCACATCATGTGTGTTCATTGTATTCCTAAGCATCAAAATTTGCATATATTTAAAAATGGTCTTGTGCATATCTCAAATGAAACTTTTGTGGGGTGGGGGGCGACTAGAATCGAACTCAGGGACTCGTGCTTGACAGGCAGGTACTACACCACTGTGCTACATTTCCAGCCTCCAGAACATAATTCTTAAAAGCTGGTTAAGTACTTGGGAGGCTGGAGCAGGAGGATTGTGGTTTGTTTTAGGTCAGTGTGGGCTACATAGCGATTCCAAGGTCAGCCTGAACTACATAGCAAGATCCTATAACCAAAATAAATACATACATACATACATACATACATACATAAATAGGAAGAGAGCATTTTTTAGAAATGCAAGCTTTAAGAACTTGTTTTTCTGCTTGTAGCTTGGCTGCTTCAGTAGGATCACGGTGTGCAGTCAGCTCTCACCGCAGTGTGTGACAAGTGATGTAATCTTAACTAGATCATGCAGGCTTCATCATTTGGTTGTTTGCAGACAACACGTTTCCGTTGGTTTATCTGGCAACTTGAAACGGTTGTCAGGTTCAAATGTCAAAGAGCTTTCTATGGGCTGGGAGATAGATCAGTGGAGTAAGTGCTTGCCTGACAAATGCAAGGTCCTGAGTTTGATCCCTGGTACCACCAAAAAACAAAAACAAAACAAAAAAAAAAAACAAAGAGCTTTCTGTGTCACACAAATGTCAGTGGAAGGTGCTGGGGCCTGAATGTGTCTGTTAAAGATGCAGGGTAAGGGGCTGGCCACATAGTTCAGTGTAGTAAAGCACCTGCAAGCAGGCACAGAGGCCAGGGTTCAGTCCCCAGGCCTGCCATGCCAGACCCGCCCCTGGGGCACACTGAGGCAGCAGTTGAGACTGGGCGTGGTGGTGCTCGCCTGTAATCCCAGCTCTTGGGAGGCTGTAAACAGGAGAATCACTCCAAGTCTGATCTAGTAGTGAGACCCTGAACACCCTGTAGACCCTTCCCTAAAAATACAAAAAAAAAGGATGTAAAGTAGGACCAGGTGCAAGGATCACAGCTACTGGGGGGAGGAAGGGGAGAAAGAGGATTGGAAGTTTGAGGCCATCCGAGTAACTTAGCAACACCTTGTTTCAGAATAAAAAGTAAAGAGGATTAAGGACCGAGTGGTAAGAGTGCCTTAGGGGTCCCGTCTCCAGCCCTGCGTACTAGTACGCAGGCACACAGTGCTGAGTAAACATGGCGGTACATGGTTAGGGGATTGTTAGTGTTCTGTTGGAATATTGATAATCTGTGTGGATATAGGATCAGTAACCTGAATTATCATCACAAAGATCCTGGTGCGCAATTACTGCTGTAAAAACTACCGAGTTAGTCTGAGCCGGCTGACGTTCTGTTGCCGGTCCACTCCCTGCGATCCGGGAGCCGCCCGGGCCGGGGCTGTCGGGTGGTAGCTCCTCGTGGCCGCACAACACAACTCTGCCTGTGCTGTGTGTCTGCCAGTGGTCCAGGGCTCTAGCCCAGGAGGCGGGGGCGGCGGCGGCGGTGAGGACGAGGACAGTCGGCAGAAGTTTGAAACTCCTGATCCAAGTGGAGGCTTTCGAGGAACAATGGAAGCAGACCAAAGAATAGACGGTGTTCTCGATGTCCTAGAGATCGTGAACACTCCTGTCGAGGCCAGCACCTCCTGCCCCGGCTGGCTTCAGAAGGTAAACCTCAGGCGAGATGCCTTTTACACGGACTAGAAAGCATATGTCCTTTTAAACTGTTTTACAAGGAATCTTAAGTTTCTGACTTTTTTTCCTGAAAATAAATTACAAAGTTACTAATCCTTTTTTCTTTCTGACAAGAAGAGATACAAAATATTCTCATACCTGTATTAGTTAAATGGATGTAAAATTAATATAATCTACCCTGAACTGTGGCGTGGTGGCCACACCTGTCATCGCAGCACTCGGGAGGCTGTAAGAGGACTGCACATTCAGGTCCAACCCGGGCAACTTAGCAAAGCCTGTCTCAGAATAAACAACAAGGGTCCGCGAGATAACTCAGCGGTATAAAGTGCCTGTTTAGGCAAGTGCAGGAACTGTGGTTCGATCCCTGGCACTACATGCCGTGCTTGAGCTGGCCACTAAAATAAAATAAAACGGGGGGTGGGGGCACAGTAGGGGAGTGGCTCCATGGACAGGCCCCAGGTCCAGTCCTCAGTACCACACGGCGCTCGGTACAGTACACATATGCAAAGATTAAGCTTATAGGTTTTGTACTGTTTAAAGAAGTAGAATAATGGGACAGTTGGATGCCTTATAGAAGGAAAATAGTCTGTGAAAGTTAAGCTGCATACCAAAAAAAGCTGGAGTATATTTCTTTGGAAGGTTAGTTACGACACAGCTATGTAGAAGAGATGAAGTATCTGTCGGTGTGACCTGACTCTTCAGAAAACACGCAGCACCCAGAAAGGCAGGCAAGACTGTATATACTCATTTGGAGTGATCACCCCTTAAGTGATGAAGTTGCTGCTGGCTCTTCTTAGCCTCCTTAGCCTATCTGTATTTTCTTATTCTGTACCATGAGTCTACAGTTTCTGAAATTGTAAGTTTTTTCCAAAAATAAAAAGGTAGATTTAAAGTTCTTTGACCAGCAAGACTAGTGTTGAAGTTGTCTGCAGAGTATGTGCACAGGCCATGGGATGGCACACCCACCTTGCCAGTGTCCTACGTTGAGTAAGACCAACAGTCACGTGCTGCTGCGCTGTGGACTGGCTTGAATTTGTTTGAATTTGTATCACTGTTGTGGTTTGAAAGGAGGGTACTTTGTTCCCAGGTAGGGCAAGATGGGTTTTTAGCTGTAACTGTCTGCCCACTAGAGGGTGCTTATGTCATGAGAGATAAAAAGATGTGGAATTGGCTTGGGTTGTTGCACAGGACTGATGAAATTCTTTTTCATGTACATAGGAGCTGGAAAATGCAGAATTCATCCCCATGCCAGATGGCTTGTCCCCCATAAGTGGAGCATTTTCTGAACCTGAGAAAGATACCCTGCCCTACGAAGGGCTGCAAGGACTCAAAGTACCCTCTGGAGTGCCTGTGGAGTCCGAGCCCCCTGCAGGAGCCTGGGTAAGTGAGCTAGGGCCTGGGTGCGGTTACAACAGGCTCTGCCCAGTTCTGGCATCACTCTCCTTTAGCGTCACTGGTCAGCTGCCCTGTGTCAGTTCATCTCACTGCCTGACCAGTTATACCGAAAGCCTCTCTTCCCGAGAACAAACTGAGTTAACCAGAACAGATTTTATCCTCACCTAGTTCTGACAGGCCACTTTGCCATGCCAGAGGATTCTCTTTGTTTTAGAAGTACTAAAATTGCCAGGTGTAGCTCAGCAGTGCAGTACCTGCCTCACATGCATGAGGCCAAGTTTGATTCCTTTTTTTTTTTTTGTATTTTAGGTAAGAGTTTACAGGGTGTTCAGGATCTCACTACTAGATCAGACTCGTAGTGATCCACCTGCGCACAGCCTCGCAAGTGCTAAGATGACAGCTGTGCGCCACCGCGCCCAATCTCAATTGCTGTCTCAGCAAGCCCCGGGGGCAGGAGCGGCACCTAAGGATCAAACCCCCAGCCCCTGCCCCTGTTTACAGGGGCTTTAATCCACTGAGCTATTTGGCTGGCCTCCAAGTTTGATTCCTGATAGCAAAAAAAAGTACTAAAATTGAAGTTCCAGAATTCTAATTCACTCTTTTTCATGACTCACTTAGGGTAGGTTGGGGGTTCTAAACATAAGTAGTGGGCTGGGTGTGGTGGCTCACGTCTGTAATCCCAGCACTCAGGAGACTGAGGCAGGAGGCTTGCTGTAAATTCGAGGTCAGCCTGGACTATAGAGCCTGTCTCAAAAAAAAAAAAAAAAAAGGTAAGTAAAACCTAATGTTCTAGTGTGCTGAGGGAATAACATATGTACATCTAACCTTGGGAAAGATAAACTTGCAGTAAGCACATTAATAAAACTAAACCAGGGCTGGGGAGATAGCTCAGTAGAATAAGCACTTGCCTGGCAAGCGCAAGGTCCTGAGTTCAATCCCCAGTACCAAAAAAAAAACCCAAAACTAAACCAGAGGCCACCAAACTTTCTGTACAAGGCCATATAATGATTCTTTTAGATTTTGTTGGCCATATAGAATGTCTGGCAGCTACCTTACTTTGATATTGCAGCACAAGAACAGTCACAAAAGACTTGGCTATTGGAGCATTTCTAATTCTGAGATTAGAGATGTTCAACCTGTAATAAATAATGCAGAAGTAGAGTACATGCCTGTGTTTCAGTAAAACTTTATTTACAAAAACAGGCAGTAGGCCAGAAATGGCCAATAGGTTGTCATTTGTTGGCCTTGGCTATCAGTAAAGTATAGTAGAAGGAGGAGGAGAATCCACAGTAGGATAATTGAAAACCTTCCCCGAAGAGATAAGAAAACCTTCGAAAATTCAAGGCAAACGTGTGCGTTCCCACTGGCTAGCCTTTTTGAATTCATTGGTGGCATTGAGAACTTCCATGCCTCCTCAGTACCTGGTCACTGGTATTGTAACCCCAGCATTCTTCTGTTTGTCTTTTACCTCTTCACATGTATCTACGTCTTATTGTAAGTAAACCTGTGTGGGCTGGGAAGCGGACCCCCTAGAGCAGACCAGACCCCCTTACAGCCTGTCCGTTTGATCTCTAGCGGCCCCGACTGACTCCTGCACCGCAACATGCCAGGAAGGAAGCACCGTTGCCTCCTCCTGCCTGTGCGTGTAGCACTCTGCAGCTGGAGGTGGAGAGACTGCAGGCTCTGGTGTTGAAGTGTCTGGCTGAACAGCAGAAGCTACAGCAAGAAAACCTCCAGATCTTTACGCAGCTACACAAGCTGAGTACGAGATTAGAAGGGGGGCAGCAGGTAAGAGCATTAAGCGTCACTCAGCTTCGAGTGCTCACTCACTGCTCTGCATATCCTCGCCTCTGAACAATGTGATTTTTGTAATTAATCCCAGAAGCCTTAGGCCTTTATCAGGCACCTGACTGAATCATTCTCATCCCCAAACTTGTATTGTTTTTTGTTAGTTTGTGGTGACTGTTTTTTCTTTTTCTTTTTTTTTTTTTTTTTTT